CCCCAAAACCCCAAAACCCCAAAACCCCAAAACCCCTATTAATAAAATTTTGATTGAATCCTATCTTATGCCCATTCTATATTTCAAAATCTGGTAGCTCTGTCCAGTCATCTCCCCTCATGCAGGCTTCAATCTGCTCGATAGTTCTTGGAACTTGAGTAAGATTTTTAACTCCATCTTCTGTAATTAGCACACAGTCCTCAATTCTGACTCCTGCTACTTCCTTTCTGTATTCTAATGCCAGGTCCAAATTGACGTATTTGTCAATATCAATGCCAAGGTCAACAGCTCTTTCTTGAATGAGACTTGGGATAAAATAGCATCCTGGTTCGACAGTGATAACCATGTTTTCCTCAAGATCTCTCGCTGTTCTAAGATTTTTAAGCCCCCACTTTGTGCTTCTTGTTGGAGTATTAGGAAGATATCCCCCTACATCATGTGTGTCTAATCCAATCAGATGGCCTAAGCCATGGGGTTGGAATACAAAACCTACTCTTTCATTTAGAGCTTCTTCAATGTCAACATCTTCTTTAATAATTCCTAGCTCTTTCAAACCCTCTAGAGTAATTTTTTCAGCAAGGAGATGCATGTCACGCCAGTTGACTCCTGGCTTCATAATGTTCTGTACAGTTCTGTTGGCTTTGACAACTAAATTGTGGATAGCAGCTTGTTTTTCTGTGAATTTACCATTAGTAGGGTAACAACAAGTGATATCAGCTCCATAGCAATGGACTTGGTGCCCCATATCAATCAAGCACATTGTATTATCTGGAAGGATATCCGAGTTAACAACATAGTGGAGGGTTGAAGGGTTTGGCCCACAAGCTCAGATAGAGACATAAGGAACAATTTTGCAGTTGTAATTCTCCATGCAATAGGCCTTAAATTTTGATTCGAGGTAGCTCTCTCTAACTCCAGGTTTACAGTGCTTCATTGTCCAGCAATGAGCTTCAGAAGATATCTTGTTAGCAATTTCTAAGATTGTAATTTCCTCTGGGTTTTTAGTAACTCTACATTCAGAAAGAATTGGATGTAGTAGCTCAGTTTCTACCTTGTGTTCCTCCAGCCACTTGAACTTTGGCAAAATAGTTTCAGCCCCTGAGTCTGAGTTGACTCCTTTATTGATAAAGATCTGGGATGGAGAAAAATCTTTAACATATTCTTCCATCTCGTCTACAAAATGTACTTCAAAGTCAGGATACAGCTCTTGGACATCTTCAAGAGACAAGACCTTCATCCATAGTTTATAAATCTCATCAAATCTGGGGTAGAACAGGATTACTTTCTCTTCAGTAATGTCGATAGCTGCCGAGCATCCAGTCTCTTGGACTCCAAAGAGGTAATAGAAGAAACTCTCTTGTCTGACAGAGTAATCAATATCTGTATCATCTACTGGGAGATCATCTTTTCCTTTAAAGACAATCAGGGCCTTTTCATGCTCTGTCACCTTCTGTTTGAAGGCAGCAAAGAATTTCTCTCTATTCGTTTTGAATAAAGAATTTGGTAATCTTAAAGCATACTCGAAGGTACTTGAGTCCATTTATCTCCTTTACAATAATAATATAATGCTAAGGGGTTTTGGGGTTTTGGGGTTTTGGGGTTTTGGGGTTTTGGGG